TATGTATGTATGTATATGTATATGTAGATGTATATGTATATGTATATATGGCTCTTTGGTTATTCGGATTTTCTACCGCGTAAAATTGGAAGTATCTAGGCAACGTTTCGATTCATCATCTTCAGGCTTGTGTCTGAAGTTTCTGTGCTTCTCGCACAGAGCCGAAGACACAAGCCTGAAGATGATGAATGAGACTTCATCGAAACGTTGCCTAGATACTGCCAATCTTACGCGGGAGAAAACCCAAATAACCAAAGATCCACATACAAATACCCGCGAGAACCTCAGAAAACATATATATGTATGTATATATAATACCTGCCAAAAAGCTTGAGAATGTGAATTATGAGCTGGGGAATTCACGGAGAGCAATGGTTATTTTCTTGAGGCTTGCAAATAATAGTTTGCTAATGCCTTTCCAAGGGCATCCTCTACATGTTCTGCCCCTATATGAATCTACAAATAGATTTATTTATTTCCATTTTAGCTGTGGATTAAAAGGAAAGACAGGAAATCTACAATTCCATTCAAATTGCTGGAGCTCTATGGAGCTCAAGGAATGTCATTTTCCTACTATTGGAACTGCTGGCTCATTTTCTTCTAGCCCTAAGATGCTAAGCAATTTCAGCTTCATACTATCATGTCACTACTATTTGATTATATCAAATCAAGGAATGGCACCTTGTTGATACAATAGTTTGGCAGCTTTGCACTAACACTGATTGTGAACGTTCATGCAAAACTACATGGACTGTTGGTAGCAACTCTGGTTGATTTTTTGGGAGGGTGGATTGATATACATAATGGTGGATTCGTTTGAAAAAGTTTCTGAGGATGAAAATTAGAATGGTGACAATGTGGGAGAAACTTCAGGGCATAGATATATATCTTCGAGGCATTTTTCTATAACCCTTTTCTTTTCACTGGAGGCAAAGTGGAGGGAACATATGATTTATCTGAGCACAGATATACAGACTAAAAAAAACAGGGAAATTGCTTGCTAAAGTTTTATAGCAGTTGGATGTGATTTTCTTGCTGCTAACAAAATACAAGAGAATATTTTTTTCTGCAGATTTTTTAAAACTATATAAGGTGATTAGACAGTTACAAAATTCCTTCTGCTATAGTATAGATTCTTCCTGTTCTAGATTCATACACTATTCAGTTTAAACTGAGTCTTTACTGCAAATAGATTTTCTGGATTTATTTTCAATGAAATGTTTGTCCAGTGGAGGGTTAAATTATGATGTAACACTGTATTTGTTTTTTTAATGGCACTTTTGCAAATTTATAATATTTAGGAGAATAGTTCAATTTGAGCCAGTATTCCTATAGTACCATATTTATAATTCTAGACTCCCAAACCAGATTCTTTTACAAAATGAGCTGCATCTTCATATATTTTATAGCAAATAATGAAGACTGTTTCAAGAATCTTTGGTTATATATTTTGATGAGCTTTTATTTATATCTCAGTGTTAGAAAAAAGAGTCAGTAAGATAAGAGACTCAGTCCATATTGCCAAGTTTATTGTCAGTAATTTGTTGTTGTATGAATCTAATAAAGATTAAAGCAATATCATTCCAGTCTTTCAATTACACTGAACTGAATGTTAATAATGGTACAAAAAGGCTGCGTTTTTGGTGACCCAAAACATTAAATTTTGCATTACATGTTCCATTATTAGTAAAGCAGTAACAGATCTTTTAGCCAACTAGATTTTGAGGGACCTTCCAAAACTCAGAAGTGATGAAACCAGCCTCACTTCAGGAGGGAGGATATTCCATAATGTGAGTGACAATATACTTGCTAAACTGCAAATTTTCATTAAACGCACAAAAGATTTCATCAATGTGATTCACATAAAGCAATAACATGGTAAACCTTTTCCAGATAGGACAGTAGGTGGTAAACAGAGCTTATTATACATTTCAAGATATAAACTTAATATCTCTCATATATAAAAACATAATTGTATTGCCTGATGCCTTTCTAATTTAATGTAAAGCATCTATGTTGGCAGGGTACCACTGTATCTTTTTACAGTAGGACAAGGAACAAATGAAATATTTACATGGAATAAGATGTGTGCATAGTGTGGGAGTTAAACTGAGAGCAAGAGATTCTCGGGATAGAGTTATCAGTTATGTCAGCTACTAACAGTAACCCAACTTAACCCAAGATATACAGGGCAAAAGACACACACCCCTCCAAAAAAAATACCCCATGAGAAATATGAGAGAAAGAAATGCCAAGATTACCCTCATATGGATATAAAAAGGGAATTGTGTCATCGTGCCTAAGTAGCAGCTTCCTAATATGCATTAAAGCTGTAATGTAATGTTTTGTACCTCAAAAAGTCTCAATTGAACTAGAGCCTAGCTAGAATAGTCAAATGTGGAAAAATTCTGCCCAACTCTTATTAGGGAATTTTGATCTGTTCACAGCAAGGTCCACTTGATATGTTCATGGTTCAATTGTGCAATGAATGAAGAAGTGTGTTTTAAGGGGTGCTGATTATTGTTACTTCACTGTTCTCTCCATTGTTTTTGAAACATACACATTGTTGAAGCAGGATTATTTTTCTAAACAAGATATCTGGGCACATTAGGAATAGAAATTATCTAACAAAGGAACTAAAAGCATTATCCATTATGTGTTTTAAACATAGGCAACCCATTTTTCAATAAAGAGGGAAGATACTTTTATTTGTTGTCTTTTCATAAAAGCCCTATTTTTCCAGGTATCAACAGTAATAAACACCATCTTATATTGAGAAACAGACGTTATTTTATCTTCTTTTTCATCTTCCTACACGCTGATTAAAGCCTGGAAATACTTAAAACATCCCCAAAGGCATTTCCTTTCGCAAAATGCTTATATTTGACAATGTGAACAAAAACCAGTAATGATAATATGCTTTATTTTTGTGTCCCTGTACTGAGCCTTTCTATTTTTCACCATTATATTTTAGGTTGGTATTGTGCTGCATTATTCTACACTCTCTACAATGCTCTGGATTGGAGTGACAGCAAGAAATATTTATAAACAAGTTACAAAAAAGCCTCAAACAGCCCAAAACAGTGATCAGCCTTCATATCCCAAGCAGCCATTGCTCAGGTATGGAAGATTATGGACATGTTTCTTTTCAAATTTGCTTTATATATGTACGGCCATCCCTACATCTACCAGTTGGCTTTAATAGTTGGCAAACAACTCTATAAAGGATGTCTTTAGAGTCATATTGCAGCCAAAGTGAGAAATGAAATTATAGTTTGAAATTAGCTTAAAGTTGACTGTTCTGACAATGGTAATCATAATTAACGATGATAAATTTGAAGACTTTCATGATTATTTGCATCTCATTTAGACACAAATGAGGGAAGGAGCAGCACATAAATTTACAAATACAGGTTATTATGTACATCTTGGCTTAGAACCATTTCTCTGGAACAGGTCTAATTATATAATTGTTTGATTGTTCCTTATTTCTAATGCTTTTACACCAACATGAATAGAAAACAGTATTCAGGAATCAAAACAAAGAATAAGGAACGTAAGCCATTAATTATTCATTAATTAATTAATCCTAAACATTCCAGCATGATTTCAAACTCATATGCCCAATTCTGCGGAAGAATTTTATTGTTTAATTGTATTGTTTATTGGCTGTCCTGGCACTGCTGTTTATATGCCTTTCACATCCTTGGAGACTAAAGCGAGCTTTAAAATTCCTATGAATAATAATATTCCCAAATAATTTGAGGAAAGTAAAATCTGTTTTGTAGTTATTTGTGCAAACTGTGAAGAAAAATTGCTCTAGTTCTACCTAGAGATTGTGACACAATAATCTATAAACATTAATTTCTGTTCTTTAAAATATTTAGTGGATGTTTAGTTTAAGTCCTTTAAAATCTGTTCAATGGTTCATTTAACAGAGAATTTTTGAATTTTGTGTATTATGATAGTGTTTTTTGTGAATTGGTGTTACTTCATTTAAAAATCATTTTAAAGGTTCATTCTTAGGAATGTTTAATAGTTGAATAATTGTTCATCCTTAGTATTTTCTCAAGTTGGTGGTTTTCTTGCAGACATTTCGTTACCAATGCAAGTAACATTATTAGTGCTAGTGGAGTTGAGCTCACCTTTCTTGCAGATCATCCATTATCAAACTAGATAACATTATCAGTGATAGAAGAATGTAGGGTTTGCAAACCCCACTCCCTTCTAGCATTGATGACGCTACCTAGTTTGGTAATAAAATGCAAGAAAACCACCAACCTCAGAGAGCAAGGATCCCACAGTCGAACCTTGAGCCAGAAATATTCTCTTCCATTAGTTGAATAATTGCCGGGCTTAAATACAATAATAAAGATGGAAGATTATTTTAGGTTGCAAAAGTAAGACATACTTGTGTGTTTATTAAACAGAGGTCACGTTATACACTACTATTGTTGAAATGACATAGGAATATTTATTAAGGTTCTGAGAAATGAATAATTTTGGAGATAATGAGTAGGCTTCTTAAGATATATTATAATTTACTGCATTTTCTTGAAGGAACATCTTCCTTAGAACAAGCAGAATTATACAAAAGGGAAGGTGAATGTGTTATTTTAAATGTATCTAACATTGAGTATATTTCAGTTACCGGCAACAGTGGCTCATGTGTTAGGACACTGGGTTGACTAGCAGCAAGCTTGCATTTGAGACCCAAATGCTGCCATGAGACAGGGTAAGCTCCTGTCATTTGCTCCAGTTCCTCCCAACCTAGCAATTGGAAAGCATGCATCCACAAGTTGTTAGATAGGTATACCACTTCAGTGGGCACGTTAACCAGAACATGAAAGGAGACCCCAACTGAGTGTCCTTTAGCCAACAATGATGTCACCAGCTAATCATTTCCAACCTGGAAGATTTATTTATCCTTGTATTAATCATGTATTATGACTATGGGCATGTAAGCATAATCTTAGAAGCAAGGACATGTCAAATATTTTGAAAGTTAGTATTGTATATCTGTAAGAGAACTTATTCCTAACAAAATGTACTATAGCATATAAAAACATCTTCTGATTGTTCTCTAGCTTATAATACTAAATATATATCACATGTAGCCTTTTCAAAGTTGGCATCTGCAGAATTTTTTATTTTATTTTTGTTTTATTTTTGCTTTGACTACTTTGTATGGTTATTTCAGTATTTGACATAATCTTTCTAGATAGTTTGCAATAATGTTAATACAAAATACTTCTTCATGAAGTGATTTTAAAAGTATTAACTGGCAGTTCATGAAAAATAACTTCTTTTCATCCGCCTGCTGATGAAATGAGCCAGCAGTTGTTTGAAAAGACTATCACAATTCTGTTTCCTCATACATTACATAAGATGTCAGAAGGACTATTTTCCAAGTAATTATTTGGATTCATTTTCTACCAGCTAAAATGAACTGCTTAAAAGATTCTTTAGCCTCAGCCTAAGAATTGCAGCTGATTGGCTGATAATGAAAGGCAATAAACCCTAATCACTTATTGTTAATTCCCTTTTAATGTGGTTGAGAATAATCAAAAGTATTTTAGCAAGGGGATGTCTAACACTCCAACATGTGGCCAAAATATCATAGCTCAAAAACTTCCTGGGTTGTGAAGTATGTTCAAAATACTGAGAATTCTCCAAAATGTTAGAATTCAGCTCACATTCAACCAATCAACACACACACACACACACACACACACACACACACACACACACATACCAACACCATGAACTTCTTTGATCAACCACGGGAGATGGTTCTGGACAGATGGGCCCAGCCTTCTTTCTCCCAGCTCTTCTATATTTTTGAAACACACTAGTGAAATAAAGCATGTAGGATTCTGTCAATAGACTGGTTTTATTAGACTGGATGTGTGTTTCTATTTAATATGCTATTAAATGATTAAGTGGTTGTTTAGATGAAATGTGTAGGTCAATGATGGGATTCAAATTTTTTTACTACCATTCTGTGGGTGTGGCTTGATGGGCATGGCAGGGGAAGGATACTGTAAAATCTTCATTCAGAGGTGGTATTTGCCGGTTCTCCAAACTACTCAAAATTTCCACTACCGGTTCTCCAGAACTGGTCAGAACCTGCTGAATACCACCTCTGGTGTAGGTCAGATATTTGATCTGATAATTGATGGGATTGGGAAGAGGGCAATTTCTTTGTATTCTGTACATATTACTGCTATATATTACTTAACTATATTTTGATGAAAATTTAATTATTAAGAACAGCAAAGCACTGATGCGAGGCAGCATCTCATAGTTAAAAAAGACTTAAATATTAATACTGCTGTTTTCTATGGCATATTACTCTTTGCCCCTGACACCCCAATACCTCGCCCTTTCTGCCCACTTGGATGAATAGAGATGATTCGGTAATTAGTAGTGATATTCAGTTTATGCATAGCGTAACTATGCTGCAGTACAAAAGCAAAACAGGAAATCTATTGAAACATCTATTGAAATAGAATATTGTTCTATTACTTCCCATTTGAGCCAAGGAACACTTTAAAATAAACTTTTTTTCCACAAAGAATTCTAGTGTGTATTTTTAGATCAAGTAGAATTGTGTTGTAATTAGCTTAATTCATTAATGAACAATGGGAATTTTTAGCAATTCTTACACATTTACAGGCTTGCATCTGTGGTGGGATTCAAATTTTTTTTTTACTACCGGTTCTGTGGGTGTGGCTTGGTGGGCGTGAAGGATACTGTAAAATCTCCAGTCAGAGGTGGCATTTGCCGGTTCTCTGAACTACTCAAAAGTTCTGCTACCAGTTCTTCAGAACTGGTCAGAACCTGCTGAATACCACTTGTGTGTTATTTGAGTAGTAGAAGCCGCTATAAGGATCCCAGGATAATAATAGCTATTATATTACCAAACATTCTCTATTTTTTTTTCTAAAAGCCTTATTCAACTTGGGCTGAATTTAAAAATGATTTTGCTATTGCACATGGAAGAAGAATTTGCAATTACAGTCTGTAAATTTCAATCCTATCACAAAATGCATAAAAATTAATAATAGAAAATGTGAGTAAATATATGTGCATGGTTTTTGAGGTGTTTTTACAACACTTTGCCTTATCTTTTATAACTGACAATATTTGCAAATTCAAAGACTTGTTACAAGAATATGAAGACAAGAGACAGGCAAAGCCCAAACAACCAACTTCAAAGTAAATTAGCTTATCTCACCCGGAATTGATCTGGGACAGTCCAACCTGAATCAAGTGACAATCATGGGAACTTCAAAGTATTGTGTGGTCAGTCAATAATTGTAACAATAGAAAGACAACTGCTTCTTGTGCAGTGATGTGTGCGTATTTAATTTTAAAGTAAAGAGATTTTCACCACTCCAAATTCCAGATGGCATTTGATCGCCAATTCATCTCTGTATATCCTATTTGCTCCATTGTTCACTGCCTTGATGTACGGGGAAAAGTTAAAATCTAGTAAATATTTGCCGTAATGCTAAAAATTACAAAGAAACCCATCCTGGCATATAATAAATCTGTTTACACTCTCTGAAAGCCAACAGAGCAGTCATTCTGAGAGATGGATTTAAAAGCCTGTCAGAAAATCTAACCAATTTCTTCACTCCAGGCCTCTGGTAACCTGGGCCCCCAAATCGGTTGTATTTTAGGCTTATCTGGATTGAATTTCAATTTCATTCAACCCAGTACTCTAGGAAAGGAAACATCAAGGCATGGAAGGAGTGAAGGAGAGGTTTTAAAAATAAAATATATTCAGGTACGTGCTACTGCCATTGGCAATCATGGGAGCACTTCAAATCTTTATCCTTTCCAACCTTAGGCCTGAAATATACAATGAATACAGTAAAGCGACCGAGCACTGTCTGTTTCTCCAGAGGTTGCTATTGAGTTGAACTTTTAGGATAAGCTAAGAGTTCACCTGTTGCCCAAAGATCAGGGGGATTAAAAAAATCTGTAGTGGTTTCTTCATGTCTTCCTTTAAAACTGCTGTGGAAACTTTAACATGCTGCATTGCAATCAGCCATTTGCAGAAATGCAGATAGTCCTCCATGAATAATGAGTCACTTTAGTGACCATTTGTA